CTCCACCTGACCCGACACTTTGACTAACAAAACACACCCCTCTTAAACACAAACAAAAGGTGGGGGGGGAGAGCAATCCTATGGGAATGCTGGTAGCTTATGTTCTCTGCTTGGACTCACCACAGCTCCCCTGCACCTCCCCCCCCACCCCGCCCAAACCCCACCCCCACACCGCCCCTCCCAACAACAATGAGACTGCGAAAGGGGTGCTTTTAGGCCAAACAACCCCATCAAGCCTCAAGCGTGGTTTCCGTCGTTATCCAGTTGCTTCTCTACTGCCAAACAAATATGCCATCCTTCACATTCCATGACCTATATATAGCTGATCTCGTGAGCTCCCACAACTATAGATAGCTGATCGCGTGATGAGCTCTGAGACGTATAGATAGCTGATCGCGTGAGCCCGGAGGAACAAGACCGCCTTTTTTAACTCTTTTCTTAAAAGGTTTTGAAATTTGAACAAAAAAGATGTAGCAGCCATTGGAGGTTACAAAAAGGCACAAGGAGAGGTTGCAAAGCTAAACATTGTGGACAAATTGGTGATTGTAAAAAATTGTAGTGAAGGAGAGGAGGTGAAAGGTAGGAGGTGGAGGTGGTAAAGGGTGGGAAGTGGAGGTGGTGAAGGGTGGGACGTGGAGGTAGAGAAAGTTACTAACTACCGTCTTCACCCGAATAGAAAGCCGGTAATTATTGTCGTATCTGGACAGAAAGTTGCACCCAATACGGCGGTATTGACCGGGCGTTCTATTCGATTGAAGACGGTACTAGTAAAAGCACACAGGGGAAAAGACATGGGGCCAGCTTGGGGCACCTAGTACGTGAGTGGCATAGGTAGCAAAAAAACAACCATGGGTAGCCATAATTGAGGGATTCAGAAATTGAACCCAAATGCATTCGGTGGTATTGTTTGGGGGGGGGGGGGGGGGGGGGGGGGGGGGGCGCGGGCATAAGTGGGGGGAAAGTGTGAAGAGGGAGCGGATGAACAAAAAAGAAGGAAAATGGACACCGCAAAATGAAAAAGTGTCTTGCCTGTATAAGACGGCGTCTCCTTTCGGGATCAATTCCTTGAACTCCGAAGATCATCTTTTCAGCAGACACATCTGCCAAGAGAGGGACATCGAAGCCATAGAATGCAACATCTCTCCGCCACTGCTCGATGGCATCATGGATGAACACGCAGAAAAGCACAAGAAGACAATTGAGGAGTGCTCGTTAGACTCCACCAAGCTTCTGTCCCAACGAATCTCTTGCTATTAAACAATGGCAGACCAATCTTCAGCACTGTGGCTGGCTAAAGAGAAAAAGAAAAG